AAATTTTGATATTCACAAGAATTAGGCGATCCGTCGGGGAATTCTACTCTCGACGGCGAAACTTTCTCAATGACAGCGAAAGAGCGGGCATAGAATCGAACTGAGAGAATATTCGAATCCGATGAGATCGCTAGTGTCCATCCGAACGTTGGTTCTCCGAGTGTGTGACTTTCAATAATAAAACGTCACGATGCTTCTAAATATTACAGCAACCTTGACCAGCCGACTCCTTTTATCTGTCGTTGTCCGCAAGGTCGCATTTTCGCGAAATCGACCTCGCTATTATCGATCGTGGTGGCTTACGTAAATCGTAAATCGCACTGGAACTATACAATTGTGACGTAGGCGAAAAATGACCGGACTCGACAAAGGAATCATCGTCACTCCATGAATATTCATCGGCGTTGCTCTTATCAAATCGCGCTCGAGGCTCGTTTTCGCGCGGTGTTGTATTCCAGTTCAATGTTGAATTTCCATGTTTTTACATTATAAAACCAAACTTTACTTTCAAATCCAATTTTATACATATTCCGTTTATTTTTTATTAACTTTATTTTATTAACACAGAGAAACAGATTTTTTTGGATTTAATACAGTTTCTCTCATTGAAACAAATTTATTTTTTGGGATAGAGCAAACAAACGAATGTTCGATTCAACAAATAGGATTGTTTGTTTAATATCTTTATGTCAAATAACATTTTATATTTTCATTCAAATATTACAATAGTTGTCACAAGCAATAAATTATTTGAAGGAAAGAAGTAAGTAACATTACGTTAGAAAAACATTACGGAACTTCTTTCTTTTAATGGAACAATATTTAATATACAATGAAATATATTTTTTTACCGAGAACGAAATTTATTTCCTCTAAACAATTATTATTTTGTTTATCAAGCAACATAGTTTATTCTAGCGAAACAATATTTTTAATCAAACAAAATAATATTTGATATTAAATCATTATGTTTATATTAAATAAACTTAAGTCAAACAAACGCGTATACTAAATCTAAAGAAATTTTTTTCTGTGTGCACATCGTTTATTTTGTTAATTAGTTTCATTTCGTTAAATCTAAGAACATGGATATTTCTGAAGTTGTTGAACAAAATTTTAAATTACGTCTGAGCGTTCGTCCAACGGAACGAACACAGTGTTGTGATCGAATCTCCGGCGCGATCGTGAATTAAGAGGAGAGATCGTTCTTCGTACGTGAGAGCAAATCGATCCATCGATCTTAAGTGGTACCTGCCCGTCTGAATTTAGATGAAGATTTTTCTCAGGTCTGTGATTGAGCGGTTCTCTGCGAAGAACTTCAGAATTCTACACCACCACGGTGAAGAATTGCAACCCGTTTAACTTATAAATCGACACGTGGAGGGTCGTCATTGCATATAGATGAAATGTAACGAAAATATAACACCACATTCCCATATCCGCAGGATATAGTTCGCATGTCCAGATTACACACAATATCACGTCAATAAAGTTAAAGATTGCTTTCCAACAAGAGACACAAGTCGACACAAGTCTAGTTATATCATTTATTACTTGTCTTTACTAAATGCGAAATAAGGACAAACGATGATATAACTAGACTTGCGTCGACTTGTGTCTCTTGCTGGAAAACAATCAAAGTAAATTAACGATAACGCTTAAAAAGGTGAGGACGAAAAATTTTCAATTAAAAATTTCAATTGAAATTTTAATTCAGCAAGAAATATTTTCAGAGATTTCACATCGCCTCGAATTTTTCGCGCGCGCAAAGGAATTTCTCGAGTCTGCGGATTCGCGAGTACCCCCGGTCGACAACCCTAACCGACGATATGCGGCTCGATATGCAACTTCGGCTGAGAATAGTCAGCGAGAGGAAGAGTCCCTCGAGTCGAACCTGATCGGCGTTAGAGTGCGTGCACCGTTATGTGGGAATGCCCGCGGCGATGTTAACGAGATAAATTGGAGTCACAACTGAACCGTAAAAGGTCCGATAACCCCATCGAAAGAGAGAGAATGAGAGAGAGAGATGCCGTTCTTTTACGTTCGATCGGAGACGAATATGTAATGCCGTCGTTCCGTCTCACTGTATATGTTGGACCTATCACAGGCCCTTTCACGAAATCTCCCAGCTTCGTGTCGTTGGATTCGTTTCCTTCCTTTTTAAGATGCTCTCGACAGAATTTACTGCCGGGTAATAAACGACAATGTGATATCTTCACACGCATTTAAAGGAGCCGTAAATTTCGCGCTGACAATAAGCGTCAATTAAATGCAGCGGTGCGTTTAATCCACCGATAAGACGTGCAAAATGTAACGGGTAATTCATTACGTATTACTGATAGTTCGTTAACGCGACTCGATCCGTAGGTGCCTTCGTTAATAGACCATGTCTCGCCGGAAGACGTCACGAGAGGATGGTTTATATTTGCATCGAGGCATTAATCTTGTATACGCAGTCGAGCGGTCAAATCGAACGACCGATCTCGACACTTGCACCTTATACGGAAGCACGAGGAGTCGTTAAAATCTCGCTGACAATAAGCTACCATCGAAGTCTTTTCTTGTCGGTAAGCGGTACGTCAGCCGCGTACACGTGACGTAATTTACGATATAATGTTAATTATTCGCCGACGTAAAGCTTTATATATCAATCATGCGAGACGTAAAGTCCCATTTTGTGAAGCTCCTTTTTTGAAAGTCGCCGAATAACAACTGAAGACAATGAAACGTAACTCTTATTTGCAATTTTAGCATGCTCACTTATTATAGACATAACCTGTTTAATTGACGACAACGTTAATTGAAAAATTGTCTGTAATTCTTTCATTGTGATAAGGTTAGATAATAATACTCTTTCCGAATTTTGCCGGCGGGTCAGAGGACGTCTTACCCTTTTACGGTAGTGTCCCTGTAAACTGTGCCGAAGATGTCATCACGCAGCGAACGGACGTCCTCTTCCTGCCGCTTCTTGTTGTCTATCAGCTCACGGAAATACAGCGTCCTCGCGTTCGCGAAGTCCGGCTCGGCGTCTCGCGTTGTCTCCATATTTAAGCGGGTCAATACGTCGTCGGAAACACGGAAATTGACTTCTCATGCGCTCGACGCTCGTCGACCGTCGCGACCGGATATGGCGAGCTTTTCGCGTATTAATGCACACCCTCGCGCGAGAACAACGCGGAACAAACTTCCATCGCGTATGATCGTGCCTCGCGCGAGTTTCTATTGTTTCCAGGACGCGCTCGTCGCGCGTGAACGTGGCGCGATTCGGGAAACGGGCGCATGTTGAGATACATGGAGGAGCGAAAGCTAAATCGTTTCCTCCGTGTTTCAATATACGCACGAGCGCTTCGATATATTTTCCTTGGGAAATTTCCAAGCGAATTTATTTGCCTCAATAAAGCCAAAATCAAGCAGCATGGAAAATGTAATATAATCGTTACACCGATAGCATAGGAATTTTTGCGAACGACTATCCAGTGACGTAGATGGGGAACTTGCAAGGATAATTGATCTTTATTCGTGTCAGGATTTAATCTTGTTTTCAAGCCACACTGTCTATCAGACGATTAATCGCCTTATTCATTATCGGCGTTGGAACGAACACAATAGCCACGTTCACTTTTTTGTCTTTGGCGTGAGAAGCGATTAATTAGCGCATTCGAAATATGTTTTTACACGATACTTTCACGAAACATGTTGGCTAATATGTGCGCATAGAAACGCTATTGTTATGCGTATACGGAGCAATACGGAGCTCCTCTTGCTAAGGCGCTAATTCGAGCACTGTTTCGCCGTTACGATGCGAAAGGAGATTTATGAATGAATAATCTAATATAAGCTCGTTGAACGTGAAATAAATATTTGTAATACGCGTAAAATTTATACGCCGTGTCTAATTAAGATTCCTTCTTTTCAATAACGTTTTTGCTACGAGAACAAATTAGCAGGGCACACTCGGGGAGCAGAATAAATCGCACAAGTTTAAGAGGATAGTGTAGTAAGATTTTTATATATTAATTGTCCATCCATGCATAGAATTTACTTTCCTAACGATAATACCGTAAGTGAATTCGCGCTCTCATTGTTCGAGATTTTTTTCTCACACCTTTAACACAACAGTGTGTTTTGCTTTCGCGGAATAATGATATTTGCAGGCGGTACGAGCCTTTAGGGGAAAGTCAGCGAAGAGATCGCGCAGCCTGTATAATTTTTTTCTCCCGAACGGCCATATATTCCAACCTTTTTTTCACGGTCCCACGTCCATTGTTTCCTATTAAAAGGCGACAATGTGCATTCTAATGGCTTCAGCACGGATTCTCTCGATTAGGTATTCCGATGCTATCGCTTTACGCTTGACCTTAATTATCCCGCATCGTCAAACGATGCCTGTCTCATTATTGTTCATGGTGTATCTAGCGCGGCGTCTATGCTCTAGAATGATTGGAACAAAAGTTCATGATTGGACAGAATTTAGAATAGCTCGATTGTTGTCAATTAAGAATTGATTTATGCGAACAATAACGCTGCGTTTGCCAAAATTTTTATCAACTTTACGGAACTTATTCATTTTTTATTAATATATGAACTTTCGTATAGCTACACATTGTATGTCTTTTTTAATTGTATAGATATGCGAAAACAATTTTCTTTTCTATTGTACGAGATTTGCGAAGACATTCTCGAAAAATATCACCCTTGCACACACAAGGAATTCTATTTTTATAAATTAATTAAAAACGAATTTCTAAATATAAAAACATTTTCCTATACTTCCTTGATCGACGTTGAATATGAACGTAGTACAACGAAGAACTCGATAATTTAACAAATTGAATACGCGGTGCGAATGATATTAGCCAATAATAATAAGAAATGACTTTTACCGACTAAGTGTCACGAATTTGCGTCGGACCTTCGTCTGGTTCCCGCATGATCACGCCACAAATCAAACTGCCGGTACGTTTCTCGCCATTCACACGGCGCTGCTATACATTCACCTAGCTATTACGATGTACGATACGTGACCATTTATACAACGCGTCTCTGCTTACCCTGAGTGGAAATTGTTACCTCGTGGAGTACACGAAACATACAACGAAATGGCAAATCCGAATCTTACTGATATGACGGAGGAAGATGCGGCAGATCTGCAATTTCCGAAAGGTACGTTTTTCTAATAAATTTTTTTTAATCATTAGATATAAACGGCTGGTACGTTGTGTGGTTAACCTCACTTTTGTATGATTCTTGTTAACGACTTGAGATATCCTTTGAAACATTCAAACCAGACGAATTTCGAATTTCTCACATATAGAAAACATAAAAAGATAACTTTTTATGTTATATTTGATCGTCTCGTGTATCTGAAAACAGAATGTTGTAACGAACAAGTAGTAATGTGATGACAAGTTTTTGTTGCTTTGAAGACATATTTAATTTATATATATATATATTTTTTATTTATTTATTTATTTACAGTAGGTCTGTTCTTTTTCTCTGAACTGATAGCACTAGCTTGAACTAGTTCTTTCTTCTTTTCTTTCTTCCATCAAGTCTTAGTTGTATATCTCTGTTTCTTTTTAAATACTATTAGTATATACTAGGTCAGTGAAAAAAAAACAGATATAGAATTACATATTATGTCTATTCCTTTAAGAAGAACATTTTGAACTGATGCAATAAGTCAGAATGAAATTATACAACTATATTTATTTTACTCTAATTTACTGCACCAGTGTATACCAATTCAGGAAGTTTTTTTGAAAAAGAACAGACTTATTGTTGTACGATAAGTCAGTAAGCATTATAAATAACACTTTATTACAAACATCTTTCTTAACGATAAGTATGTTATGTGAATAACAGGAACAATAAGATTTTACCAGTATAAAGTGATAAGACAAAGCAGAATATATATTCGTTATCTTCGAGTTTTGCCAGTAGATATCCCAAATATTCATTTGTTTAGACTCTCTTTCCATATGGCTGTAATTCGATGAGGAAGTAACATTGTAAAGTGCTTGGTAATGCATTCGTGAATGTATTGATAATATTTAACCGAATAAAACCAACAAGACGTATCGACGCTTACGCGTATATAAGAAGTCTCAAATAATTCCGTCGAATAGAGCTACTTTTTGCTGTTGCAGTCATAGGAGCGCCTGCACATCCGAGATGGCAGAGGGCTAAGGCAACGATTTTCCTCTTTCAGACTCTTTGAGCAAAAGGGCTACGCCCGAGTGTGACACAGAACTCGAGGTATCAGTCGTGAAGGACGAAATGCTTACCTCAGACCCGACATGTCGCATGTGCAGGTCGAACCTCATGGAGCCGTACGTGTGTTGCGCAGTGTGCGCCAACGTCGAGATATGTCTGTCCTGTTTCGCCAGTGGCTGCGAGATCGACGCGCACAAAAACAATCACGACTACGTGATCATAAAGAACGAGTTTCCGCTGATCAATGGCAGCGGATGGAGCGCCAAGGAGGAGCTGCAGCTGTTGAACGTGGTGCAAGAATGCGGTTTCGGCAACTGGATAGACGTGGGCCGCAAGACGCAGGGTAAATCCGCGGAGGAGTGCAAGCAGCATTATCTGCAGTACTATGTGAACGATCAGGCGTTACCGGGTCTACCGGAAATAAAAGAGACCGCAACCAGCTTATTCGGTACCGAGCCGATCCCTTATTTCTACAAGCTGCAAGATCTCGAGGAGCCGCCTAGGTTCGCGCCGAACACGCTCAATGCGAAATTGCTGGCGGGTTACAATCCGGCGCGCTCTGACTTTGAAGTGAATTTCGACGATCACGCGGAGTTGCTGGTGGCTGATCTCGATTACGACGACTTTCAATCGAGTGACGATGTGAACGAACTAGGACGGGCGCTGCAAGTGGCGCTGGTGCAGGTGTACAATAACAGGCTGAAGGAGCGAATGCGTAGGCAACAGATAATCCGCAGACACGGCTTAATTGCGTTCCGCAAGGTCATACTGTGGATACAGCGGTATGAGAACACGATCACCAGGCCGCTCACGGAGCGGCTGCTGACGTTCATGCAACTCGTGGACGGAATAGACTTCGATTACATCATGGAGGGTCTGCATCGCGTCGGCGAGCTGAAGAATCGCATCAACATGTTGCTGGAGTTCCGTAGAAACGGACTGAAGCGTTTCTACAGCGTGCCTATGTTCCAGAAGCTGAACAAATTGCGGCAGGAGAACGAGAGGGAAAGGAGGCAGTATCTGAGCAACCCGGAGTACAGCTGGAAGAACGTGCTACCCGGTTACGTCGGGAGCACCAACAGCCCGATCCCGGGCGTGAGCTCGCAGCGCAAGGTCGCACCACCTCTCGCGATCAAGGGCATGCCGGGCTACGAGAAGCTGACCGCTGATGAGAAAGAGCTCTGCTCGGCCGTGAGGATAATGCCGTCGAGTTATGTGGACTTCAAGCACCTCTTGATAACTGAGAACAAGAAGAGCGGCTCTCTCAAATTGGCGCAGGCCCGTACGTTGCTGAAAATCGACGTTAACAAAACGCGGAAGATATACGACTTCCTAACGGAAAAGGGATACATCAATAAGCCGAACTCGTGATATTTCTTCCGTGACGAAAGCACATTTTCGTGCTCATGGGACTGTAATATTATTATGACGCTTTATTATCGTGTGCATTTCTTAATATTGCACAAGTTAGTTTTATCGTTCTTCAATCAAGATTCATACACACGCATATGGAAAGAGAGATTTGAATCGCTGATCAGCAGGGCTGATTATTATAATTTTTTTCAATTCGTGAAAAAAATCATTATTCTTTATCGTATCAGTCGTCATTTACGCAAAATATTCTTAAGATGTACGTTACGCGACATATGTGTCTTATTAATCAAATAAGTGTTGAGACAACAAACTTTTTCAGAATTTGAAAACGCGGAGACATTGTTGATATCGGAAGTTTATATGTTGTTGGAGCACAGGAAAGCTCAAAATGAATCGGCGGAGGAAGAACAGGAATTCTCCGAAGTGTTTATGAAGAGTTTAACGTACACAAATCGATTCGGCAAGCTAAAAAATAAAGAGACGATCACAGCTGTTCGAAAGTAAGTTATTATACTTATTTGGCAGAGTCAAGAAATGAAACACGTACGCGACACGCTACGTATGGTAAATAAATTTAACATAACGCTTGAAAACGTAACGCAATAATTTACGTTATAGTTTGCTGGCGCAGAAGAAGTTGCACAAATTCGAGCTTGCCTCGCTTGCTAACTTATGTCCTGAAACTCCGGAGGAGGCGAAGGCTCTCATTCCTAGTCTCGAAGGGCGTCTAGAAGACGAAGAGCTTCGGACGATATTGGAGGATATACAAACGAAAAGATCTTTACAGTATTGAAATAAACTTTATATCTATTTCTACTTTTACGTCTAATTTTTTCTAAGAAAAAATGAAAGGGATGATGAATTTGATGAATAAAAAAAAAATAACTCGACATCGCCACTATAAATGTACATAAATAATACATGTCATAATCTCGTTTCAATGTCTCTCGTAGTTTTAATTTTGTCTTACTGAAAATTTGTCATATTTTTTTATCCATATAATGCTGATCGAGATATCATTAAACATCATTTTAAAAATTTTGTGTCATTTGTATCTGTTATAACAGAATTCTACCTCATCTAATGTTTAAATCCTGCAATATTTAATTACCATGACTGTACTAATTATGAAGTCATGATTGCGCGATCTATATTCGATTTGTACACGTTATCGTTCGAATTATTTAAGGACAATTTACCATATTCTCAATTCGCTTTTATCGATAAAAGAGCCTTAAAGTAAAAAATACCAATGCTTGGACGCGTATTAGACTCTGGATACTCCTGTTATTTTGATCTTTAAATACGAATATTTGAACTTCAAAATCTCGAAATGTCGCCCGAGCGAGCGAGATCTCCGCTGATAAGACTGTCACGGTGGGAAAGATTTGCCGTATCTTGCGCGGCTAAGGAGAATTTTCCGTCTGTCACCTAGTTTGCGTCAGTAGAAACTCACTGTCGCATCCAGCTCGTATCCAGTTACCCAATTCCGGCAATTTGCGACAGGTCGCGACAAGCCGCGAAAGAAGACTGCGCTAATCGCGCCGACGACAACCGTGTATTACCAACAGGTAATTACGGTTAGCTCGGCATGAGATAGCGGTCCGTCATTATCATCCCGCAGGATTCTTGAGTAACTGGCAAGGTAACCCGGTCGATTTGCTGTTCTCTTTAGAGTGAGGCTCGAGCTCGCGATAAGGATCGATGATGTCGTTCCACCTATCATTTACCGCGAATCCTAATGGCTACCCTTCGCCGTGCGTCTTGCATCAAAACACCTTGAGCTCTCCCCGATATCTCTCTCGTTAATCCCCCCGTTTTCTTCCTGTTATGCGTGGCAAACGCATTCCCGCATTTGTACAGGACTAAACGTTATTAAAGCGAGAAGTGTCTTCGGAGAATTTCTCGTTCCACGGCGTAGAAGGCAACAAAGAGATCTGCGTCATCGACGCCGTTCCTTTTTCCCGTCACGTACGCACGCGCCATCTTCGGCATTCGCATCTCGCTTAATAGGGAAGTCGTGCACAACAGGCTCGGGAATCTCTCGATTCGAATATTGTATGTAAATTCGTATTAAAGATTCAAATTCCTCGGCATTTTCCTCAAGAACGTTCTCGTTCGTTGAATTTGCAATGTGATGCAGATTCAACAAACGAGTTAAACGACACTGTCGAGCAAACCTGGCGCAACAATATTGATATTACACGTGCTAAAAGAACTCTTTTTTTTTAACGAACTTGAAAGATGACATAATCGCCGAAATACGACAAAATATCAAACGTTAGAACGTTGCGTAGGATGATCTGGAATAAAAGGTCCCACGGCAGAGGAAAAGAAATCGATTCTCTAAACTCGGACGAGCATACGCTCCCGTTGCCACAGGTTGCCGCTTTAGCCGGAGCCATTCCACATACAGTCGCGCTTGTTGACGCCGGACCGCGAAACGAAAAGATACAATAATCGTGCGATTAGTGATGCTTCATTTTATAGCTCGCAGCCACCAGCGCGGCGTTCACGCTGGTGAACGACGATTACAGGCGTTTATGAATCGTTCGTTCTCGTTAATGCGAATTTTCCGAGAGTCGGATAAGAGTGTGTATGCAACGCACGATATCTCGCGGCAGGCGCTTACATACCGTGGGTATAATGGCTCTCGCATTAGCGGCGAGAAGAACGGCGCCGTCGTTGGCGACACATAGTAATCGGCCGCGACAGCACCGCTCCCACGAAGAGGCCTCTTAAGATAATTACGACGACCCTTAATCGTCTGTAAACTCGGGGAAAACGCCGCTGGCTTTATCGCGGCGAATTGCGCGCGAGACTGCTCGATAGTGGAATCGAAGCGATTCGCGGAGGGAAACGCCGATCTGGACGTTTACGAGCCGATCGAAGCAGCGTCGAAGTGCCATCGTTCGCGTCCACGAGTAACTTACGGGAATGCGAAATTAACGTTGCACGTGGTGTGCGTCACGCGTGTAATGATATCTCGCGACAACACTTTAACGGTGCAATTTTGTAGATCCGCACATATTTTACAAATCGTGTCCAGTCTCGCTATTTTTCTCCTTTCGCGATAAATATTGCCTGCTGTATGCTTGATCAGCGGGGTAAATACAAACACGGATGCAAGTATTATCTCAGGCAGCTGTCTAAAATCGGGACAAAGATGTCTTTCAGACGTTTTATGTCTGGAATTTCTCTCTCTCTCTCTCTCTCTCTCACTCTCTTCTCGTGATGGCGCAACTCGCTCGAGTCGAGAGAGCAAGTTGATCGTATTGCGAAAAGCCCTCGCAGAGTGTAACGCGGTAGTGACGTTTCGGACGTTGCTGGAAGAGTAGTTGTCACGCTTGTTGTTTTCCTAATACGACGTTATTTTCTGGAATTGCGTAGCAAATGCAAGTTACAGAACGGGCACGCTCCAGAGGCCAGAATAGAGCTACTGAAACGTGCAACAAGTCTATATTCGCGCGCCGAGTCTGGCGGCCAATCGATGGAATCAATTTGCATAATGTATACACGCGAACGTGCATGCCCGACAATGCTTCGACGTCGTTGCCTTTATACGGTGATATCAGAATAACGTTGACGTTCGCTAACGTTCGATAAGATCGGGCCGGGCAAACAAATTCTGGAGAGATCAGAATTTCTGTATTTCCGATATGCAGCTGCGATTCGCAACCATCGAATTATCAATTATAACTGTCAGCTGTGATATCAACTATATTTAGCAGAGACGCTTCGTCGAGCAATGAGATCTTTCTTACTTTAAATCGGGTGAGATTAACGTAGTCTCGAATAAAATTTCAGGATCGTGAAATACGCCCGAACGATTCGCCAGTACCTCGCGTTTGTAAAGCGACTAAGCACTTCGAACTTTAACTACGTTTTAAATAATTTCCCAGAGTTCACAATTTCCCGGAGTGCGAACGAATGTCAAACTAATAACACTGCAGGACATGGTTTTATTGTTTCAACGTGCTTTTTAAATGAACCGCAGTCTGGTTAAAATTGATACATTTTACGGCCCTCGGTGGTCGATAACCACGATTAATAATGCATGGTTAACGTATCGTTTACCACACGAACCGTGTAATATTTTTATAATGGCATATATCGTGTGAATATCATTTCTCGTAAAGGTTGAAATATAATATATTCTCCTTGGATGGAGATGGAAAACCAAACCAGCAGAATAAAAGTCTCCATTGTCGAGGCTGACTCGATAGAACTTAATCTTTTCTTTTTTAATTATAAAAAGGTAATCGAAAATAGTACGATGAATTTTATTCTGATAATTGAAAGTATTAGCATTCATATATAATTTATCAGACATTAAACTTTTTCTTACAATTAAAATATGTTTTCAAATCGCTTAATTTTAATTTTGTCCCTTCTCTAGCTGAATATACTAAGCATGCAAAGATTCGTGAACATTTTTTCATATCTTTGCGTAATATTGAGATGCTGTTTCTAAATACAATTTTATATTTTTACTTTACTTTTAATTGGATTTAATTGGATAATTAATTGGATTTATTTTCAATGTTATTATATTTTTAATCGGAGCGATAAAATATATATCCTAATTATTGTTTATGAGGAAAAGAGAGATATTGGTAATGGAGTTCAATTCATATGTGTAATTTACCGAGTCCGGTACTGTCCTGTGTGAGGTGGGAAAACTCGATTACCACAGTGACAGTTCTCAGGTGCGTCTAACGTCAATTTCACCTAAAAGATCGTTAATAGGAGCACGATATTATACTCTATAAGTCGATTATTGGAACTTGATATAAGATTATACACTTGGTAATTGAAGCTCGGTAATATCCGTACTTTTTAGAAGGCTTTAACAATCACGTAACAATATTTCTTTCGACCAATAAGAAAGACTTAATTCGTCAATAAAATATAAATGCCCGGAAAAATTTGAATATTGTAACCAGCGTCTAAATATTGATGTGAAGTAACATGGACATCTGGAGAAGGATAAAAGAATCTTTCCATTGATACATTCGATCGGAATATTTCCTTCTAACCCTGATAATGGAATCTTTTACCCCATTAACTCCACTTGTGCGAAGAGAGATTTACAAGCGAAGTAAAACTGGAAACGTAACACTTGCTCGAACGCCACGAATCCATTCGCATGAATCTTCCATAAGAAGATTACACGTGTCAAAATAAACCGTGTGCAGTCTGCACACGCGCGATACAGAGAACGTTATTTACACGTAGATTCCATACGTTGTGGGTAATGAGCGAGAGCTCCGACGGTACGCGTGGCAGGCCGTCGTGTCTTGACAGGTGGCAGCGATGCGACCGAGAAGAGCGAGCAGCAGCGATGCGCGGTGCATCGACCTACACGGTGCATAGCTGGCGACAGAGTGAGGGCGCGGGCCTTGTCGACGGCCGGCCGAGCGTCGTGGTTGGTGCGCTCGGCCGAGCGCGGCCGACTACGGCCGAGGCGCGCCGAGCGCCGGTGCGGCCGAGCTCTCGGCGGAGCGCTCCGATCAAAATATATTCAGTATATTCTAAACAGGCGTGCGCGACGCGCTGTCACGTCTGCCTTCGTGAGCGCGCCGCCGCGCATCGTCGCCGTTGCCGTCAATCACGTCTCTCGATATATCTCGAACGACATTGCGCGCCTCCGGACGCACGTACTCGAAAGGCCAAGTGCGCGCACCGACAAGCGGTAGAGCGTTCTCTCTTTTTTTCCCCCTCGACTTCTTCTTCTTTTCTCCCCTCGTGTCGATCACGCCCGTTTCGCGCGTGTCTCTCGAACCGCGACGGGAAAAACGTCGTCGCACCGCAGCAAGTGAGGACTTTGGTAAATCGCGCGATCGCTGTTGTTGTTGCAATCGTCGCGATCCATTTCCTCCGTTTTCTTTTTTTCTTCGCCTCCGTCCGTCACGCCTTATTTTTCTTCCTTCCCTTTTCCTCCCTTCTCCCTCTCTTTCCTTCCTCTCTATCTTCCCTCCGGTATTATTTATTGTTCACTCTCTTTCTCTCGACTTCTCTCTCCCGTTTCTCCCTCGCGCTCTCCACTCGTTCCTCCTCGTACTTCTTCTCCCTCTCCCTGTCTTTCTTGCTCTTTCTCCGTCCCTCTCTCACCCTTTCCTTCGCTCCGACGTCGTCTCGTGGGGTCAGTGCCTGCTCGATCGGATCCTGAGCAGGAACATACCGGTGGAGGAGGAAGAGGAGGAGCAGGAGGAGGTTGAGGACGATCTCTCTACCTCGGCGAAAGACTGCAACCGCTGCAGCGAGCGAGTGCGCGCCCGTCCTCCGAGAATCGGAGTGCTCCGTTTTTCGCGCCACGAGCCGGTGACTCCGGGACGCGAGTATTATGTGACAGCGACCAACAACAACACGCTGGACATCGTCACGGTGGAATCGTCCTCTCATCGTCGGCGGATTGATCCAACTCGGCGGACAGACGCGCGAATCGCGGCCCGTTCGCGGTGCAGGAAACTCGACGCTCCTTATCACGCCGCTTCTCGCGTAGTATCACTCGCTTTTTTCTCATTCCCATCGTCTCCCTCTCTCTTTCTCCTCGCGGGCCTGTCTCCGTTTTCCTCTCCTTCTCTCTCTCTTCCTCCTGGTCTCCGTCTCTCATCCGTGCGCGCTCGGTACGCGTTTCTCCCTCTCTCTCTCTCTCTCTCTCTGCCTCTCCTTCTCCCCGCTCGCTCCTTCGTGGCCGCCGTTCGTCGTCTCGCTCGCTCCAGTCGCGTGTTTTCTCGCGAACAGATACGAGAAAAAGGAGAATCGGCGCGAGTGATACCGCCGCCGCGCGCGAGAGAGACACATCACCCCGGAGAGAAGGGGATCGAACGAGTCGCGAGTTTGTGTTTTTGTTTATCCGGAGCGGACTGCACCGGTAACTGCACGCTGCAGTGGGCTGGTGCGCGAGAGGAAGTGCGAGCGGACGCCTCGGAAGGACGATTCGTTGCTGGAGGCGTTCGAGAAAGGTGAGCAACTTTATCGGCATTTGATTTACTTGTTTCTTTCCCTGCGCTCCAAGCCTCTCTCGCGCTGAAATCGAAGGCTGAAGTTTCTAAACAAAAGTGCAGATCTCCCCCTTCTTCTCCCCGTCAGCCGATTGGGAGGGTAAACGGCACTTTCCCGGACGTTTGAACAATCTAATATCGGGCGGGATAAATCGCATCTTGACGATGAGCTTCTGAGTGAACTGCGCGTGGACTCGCGCAAAATTTGCTACTCGGCGAATGTGATTAACGATAGCGCCATCTTAGGCGCGGGGGCGAGTATAGATCCACTGTGGCGATTTGTATTGTCCACTTTCGCAAACACAATATCGTTGCGCACGCTTGTCACGCAAATTTTCAGAATAGAGAACGACTTCGCCGTACCATTGTGCTATTAGATTTAGTATGACGTTCTTTTATGCACTGTCCTACATTCATGTTTACATTCATACGCGCGCTCGTGTATTCAATCATTTCAGAAACAGGCGAATTCTTTCATCAGCCTTTACCTTTCCTTGCGTCTCCTGTTACGATTCCAATTGCACCACCATATGAATTATCGACGTATCGAGGTGTATTTCGCATGAATCGATACGCATTATCGTGACGAGGCATCCGGATATTCTCCAAACATTCGTAACTCCTACATACGGATTTTATTTTTCATATCGGAGTCGGTTTACGTCTGAAGACACGATTAACGCGTTACGGAAAAGCGCGAGCGTTTGCAATTTTTTGAAACATCAAGTCATGGGCTCCAAAAAACACGCGTGCTCGTCTGCTTTATTGTGAATGCACTTAGGCACGTCGCGAGTGGATTTGATTAAGAGTATTAGATAGAATTTATCGTTGATATTTCGTCGCAACGTTTCCGCGAGCAAACTCGCTCGCAAGTTATTTCTGTGAGCGTGTGCAGTGAATGCAAGCGTATCGATAATTGAGCAAAACGAGTGCGAAAAAAACAGTGCTACGTCTATTATGGATTAAGAAAGTATAAGCTTGAATATATAACATTTTTATTCGATGATTATTCGTAAACACTGAAAAAATTACGCGATATGCAAGGTGTATGTTGAAAACAGTAGCGGTCGAACGCTATTTATCTTTGTCACGTACGTTTTTATACAAGCCACAATCACGGCCTGTCAACTTGCTGTGTTTGCGTGAACGTATTTTTATTCACACGTATAATTCAGCGATTTAATAATGCGACGTAGCAATAAATTTTGAAATATTATACACATGAATGTCTAAATCATCGTTGTGCAGAATATATCTCCGATGGGATCCTTCGTTTGAGCAATTTTAAATTAGAAATTAAATTTCTCTTTCAGCGAAATCGCACGCTCTCAAATTTATCGAGTAGTTCTCGTCACTTCCATTCGTGTGTTCTCAAAGCTTCATTCCAGAACTTCTGAGCATTACGCATAATGATCGTTAAATCCTCCTTTCTTATATAATTACACCACTAATGAGACTTTGCACATGGTCTATTTCGAATTTGTGAATTCGCGAAAGAATACGCGTTCGTTGGTTCTTATTTTTCAGAACGCTCCGCGAATTAGTAGGTAACTATTATTCCGCGAGCCGGCTCGAAGTAATGACGAAGCATATGATAAATTAGATGGCTATAATGCAAATTGCGGCGGGCGGTTTTCTATGAATGAGCTCGCTCGCACGTACCGCACGTTGAACTTTAATTTACTCGCGAGCGAATTTACTTTCGTGGCTGCATTACGACAATTGCATTTAGAGAGAGAATATGTGGGTTCTCATAATATTTTTCCTGCGTTATGTTAGATGGATCGTCCGATGTTCGTCGATCGATTTTTCTCGTAACAAGACGCTGGTTTTCGTAGGACGAAGTTCCCTCACATATCCCTTAAGTCATATATCTATTTTTCGTTTAATTTATAATTTATTTTTATAATTTGTAACTCTGTTGATAAGATTTTAGAATTATTATATATGTCGACGCGGTGTGGACTAATTATTATTTATTCACATTCTTTATTAACGGTATATAATCCCTTTGGTCTACAGTAAGGAAAATGAAAGAGAAAAAGGAGAAAATAAAATGTGTAAAGAAAATTCAATTAATCAATAATAAAATCTAATTTCGATTAAGCTTTTATACTCTGTGACGAGAATAAATTCGCTCCGTTGATCAGTTGTATTGATTTCGTCACAGGACTTTTGCATCACCGTGTGTAACTCCGCGAGGTAGGATCAGGGATTTAGATTCGTGCTACGGGTGTGAACTCTCCTAGTTACGGTCATGTCGGTGTGTTTGCGAGATGAAAAGCCGCAAGGGAGTTTATTCGTTTTCGCGAGTTGCATGATTCGTCGGGTGCTTTTTATCGCGGAAAAACAAACGCGAGAAGAAGGCAGCAGCCTTATCTTGCCTGTGTGTGTATGTGCAGCCGTGATCCTTATAACGAAGAACAGCTTCGAAGTTTGTTTTCGGCCACTGAGAAGCCGTGTCACGACATTGGAAGTTTTATTTCTATTTATTTTCCGATTTTTCTAATTTTTCCCCGTACTCATTTAGCCACAAGAGTTCGCTAGAATTCGCCGCGGAAAATATATCCGTTTTATCTGCGCAGAATTTCTCTCGCGCGACCATTTAACGACCGCGATGAAAAATAATTCCTCTTTTTTATTATCGCGTTCGTTCGTCGAGAGCATGCAATAAAAATCGCGTTGTAAATGTTACCACATTCGATATCGAGATTGAATAATTGCTTTTCCAGCGTTGATCGCTAAATACGAATGCTGATTTACGTTTACGTTAATTGCGACTTTTACGCGCGGAGAGCTTAAGCCTCGAAATGATAATTAAATTGTCATATTTATCCCTAAATTATCAGTTGTACTCAGCTCTAAGCAGCGGCGAGGATTCGAGGTAGATTTCAAATAATGTCAATGTAACGCCATTATAACTACATTTTGGCGTTTAGCTTTAACTAATAATTCCCTGATTTCATTATATTAAGGAGAAATAATGCGGTGATGCGAAGGTACTTCAAACGTGCGCTAATCTATGATTAATATTCACAATTCGCGGAAAATCAATGTTGTAATTAGAAAACGGCACGATTAATCACTCGACGTTCCACTCTCGTCGTTTTCTTCTTTTTCTTGCCCTTCTCGCGGAATTGTGCTCTCTCTTTCTCTCTCTTCCCCTCTCTCTCTCTCTCTCTCCCTCTCGCTTTCTCTCTCTCTTAGAGACGACTCATTTCTCAAGTGAACAATTTATTATTTTTTTACTTTGTTTTTAGAATATTCCGAAGTTAATGTTACTTGCTTTTTCTACGTATTGTTATAATTAATCAACATTGTATAGGTTATAGTCTTAGTTCATAAGTGACTTCTTGTGGATGCATTACGAAATTGCAGTTGCATATTGTATGATTTTTTTAATACCTATCCCCCAGATACTGCAACAAACTGTGATAATCCTATTGTATGTTTTATGAGAACCTATGTAAATAACGTGCGAAGGCTTACCGGCCCAGTACGTGCCTTGTGTTTCCTACTATTCTTTCATCAGTAAAACATTCGATGCTCTGTTACCTTGATCTACGGCTTGTATCTGGTATATATATTTTATAGTCAGGACCAATAGTAACGACCCTGAATTCTTTATTTTCTTTCAATTCTTTACTAGTTCTATTGCGTACCACTTGACTCTAGTATTCGGCCAAGATATTGTTTTCAATAAACTTAAAAGGATTTAATACTCATAATCTCAATAAACTCTGTCTCGCTTTCGCACGGATTTGTCGATATCCGTGTCAATGTAATTTCAAAAGCGGTCCAATTTATATTGTGCTCTTCTTTATGAAAAATTCGAATATTTATGTTCGTGACGTGGCGTGAAAGAATTATGTTTGCTCGCTGCGCTCGTGTTCCGAATTCACAATGAAAACGCATCTCTCTTTCTCTCTATCTGAAGGAATTTGAATGAGTTACGATGGTGTATGCGATGTTGTAGGTCGCGCGTGTATTTAACAAAGGTGTCGACGTTCTCCCTTTAATGACTGATTTATCCCGGAAATGTGTGACCTGACGTACTTTTGTTCAGTTGCATCAATCTTTTGTACCACCGTTTACCGATATTAAGGAACACACACTCGCATTTGTTCGACGTCATTCGCTCGCAAAATATCTCATATCTCACATTTTACCGTTAGAGAAAGGAAGATAAATGTACGCAAGTCGCGACGAGATTGCATGTCATAAACATTATTAAAGACTCAGGAAACTGCAGAGCAGCACGCTACTGCGTCTTCTGAATTGCAGGATCGGCGGTAAAAGTCATACGACTCTGACCTCGGGAAATACGTATTATTTGTCGTTCGTTGATACTTTAATGACGTGATAAAATTCATTTGGGCGGGTTCATGATAATCGAACCTATATTAGTAGATATACATGTAAGTTACGAGGCCCATGGGGTCTCTCGTCTCACGGGGCTTAGCACGTATTGCTTCGGGCTCTTCAATTATTCACGATACGGAATTGGCATCAGGCGGTGGTGAATAGCATGCGAGTATCTACCACAGACTTCTATATGTTGGTAGACCGCTAACTTCCTTGTATACCGTATCAAAAAATCGACCTCGAAAAGTATGTATTGCATGCCTGACGTAAGCAGTACAGAAGAAGAGTGGTGGTGGATAAGTGTAATATGACTGATGCCTACAATCAATCGGACGTAAATGTCATACTACTTATACGACGTATATATACTCCGAATCAATGATTCGTGACTAGACGCTGCGGAGTTGGGAGGGACGCTTTCGTGTTATTGTTTACTATTATTATTGACGCAATGTCTTGGACTTCAGCGGTTCGCACTCAGTCAATAATGATAAGACGCGCGATAGGCTGCCGACGGCTGGCGGGGAACGGCGCATGAAGTGATAGCGCCTAATCAACAAATCATTAATTCCGAGTGTACATGGCATATGTTTTGG